CCGGTCAGAACTGAATTGATGTGTTCGATTAAGTTCTTTGTCAAACAAATCGAAAATCGGGAAACAAACTGCTGGATAATAAGTACGACGTTGTTCCATGTATTTGTCCGGCTGATATCATGAGAACAGAGGATTATATGATCCTTATCTAATGGACAAGTCATTGACAAGGTCAGAGTTCATCTACAAGGTCAGAGTTCGACAGAAGCTTTTGAGAGCTACGATTGTCGGTTGGTTCCTGAAGTCATACGCAATAATAGTTTTAGACTTATCCAAGTGGGAGACTGTTGGATTAATGTCTAAGTCCATAACTATAATTGGTAAGACTTGACCCGACCCGGCATGGTCCATTTGGTTGCATACCATCATGCACTTGGATAGACTATAATGAGAGAAATAAGACACTTATGGTTATTAATATATTATAAGTTCTAGTATATTAATAATAAGAATAATAAGATTATTTAATTAGTATTGATCAAGAATTAATCTAGGATTAATTAAGTGATCAAAAGAAGACTAATTAAATATATGGGTTGATTTGTAAATCATCCATACTTATATAGTGGGCTAATGCTCCATGGATAATCAAGTTGGGCTAAAACCTATAGGATGGTCCATGGGTGCTCCATGGTGTATTTGAACCCATGGATCCAAGGAAATGGAAAGCCATGACAATTAAGGATTTACCCTAATTGTAACACTATATAATGATATTATTCTTGACAAAAATCGGCCACTAGAGAGTGTAACAAAGGGCTAGCCAATTTCATGAAGTGTAGGACTCTCTCAAGTTATTCTAAGTGTTTTGATGATTGTGATTCCATTTGAGGCTTCCACACTATTGGGGCTAGGCACTCAAGCTTCATGAAGACCTTCTACATCAAAGAGGTATGTTATCTATCTTGTTACACTCATTGTTTTGTATGCTAGATTAGGATAATACCTTGTATATTCTTATTTGCATGTATAATAGAGAGAAAACATAGATCCAAGGTATTTAGGGTTGCATGTACACTTAGGAGTGTTAGAATGCTCAAAACCCAACAATAAGTGCATCATATTCATCTTTCATTGCATTTAGCTAGTTAGTATTAATGAAATCTTCACATTGGTTACGTGGAAGAGGGGATAAAGATGAGTTTATGGTGTTAGTATGAAGATTAAGTTTTTGGATGGGTTTGGGAATACCATGGCAAGCACGAGTGACCATGGGTTAAGAGCGAGATGGAACCGATGTTAACATATTTTCACGAGGAAGAGGAGAGATGTTGTCAAGTGAGCAGCGGGGGAGGATGAGTAAGTTGAAGCGATAGAAGAATGATCGGGGGTTGTATTTTGATCAACGAGGGGGTATAACGGAGTGTTTGGTTCATTGAAATGGTTTCTGGTATCTTCGATATCTAGGAAATCATAGTTGGGAGAGTTATTCGGAGTCATAGGTCTAAATGGGAAGACAATTTCATCAAATGTGATGTGATGGGAAATGATGATTTGTTTAGTGTGGAGGATTAGACAGAGGAAACCCTTGTGATTCAAAGGGAATCCATGAAAAACACAAGGAACTGAGTAGTATTGAAGTTTATTGGAGCTGTTGAGATAAGGATAACATAGACAACCAAAAAGATGAGTATATGAGGGATGTTTGTGGAAAAGTTTTTAGTATGGAGTGTCGTTATTGAGAGTTGTGGATGGAAAAATATTCAAGGGATGAGTGGCCATATGGAGAGCTTCCACCCAATGAACTTGAAATTAGAGAGTACGTATAATGTGGTTAAGTGTATGAAGCATGCGTTCAGATTTCCTATTTTGTTGAGAGGTATAGGGACAAGAGAAGCGCATATGGATGTCATGAGTGGCACAAAGTTTAACGAAGTTGGAGTTATCGTATTCTTTTCTATTTTCACATTGAAAAGCTTGAATTTTGGTGAGAAATTGATTTTCAATGTAAGCACATGCTTGCCAAGTTGATGCACATGACACAATAAGTGAGAGTCCCTTTTATTACATGAAATTGAATTATAAGAAATTAAATGTTGAAAAATAGGTTGACCAGGATGACCAAGTCTTTGGTGCCACATGGTAGAACTAGCAGAGACAAAAGCATAAGGAGCAGGGCTTGTAACCGGATATAGATCACTCGAGCTATCACATCGAAGAAGGATTTGTTTGGTTTGGAAGTCCTTCACAAAATTCATCAAATTCGATGGAGCATTGTGGGCCTTACCAACTTCTTCGAGTGTCAAAGAGGAGAAATATTGAGAAGAGCATTGTGGGCCTCACCAGCCTCTTCCCACAGCAGCACACGTAGCATAAGAGCTCAACAACGACCCAATGATGATTTCAAAGAGGAGAAATATTAGCAATTCGGTATGGAATTTTTTGTTGTAACATATATGACCAAGTGTATGTGCATCAATGTTCCACCTAAATATGAGTATACTATGGCATTTGACACTATCAAGGTCTTGTAAAGATTTTAAATTCAAGAAGCATTGATCAAATAACAGGTTTGTCAATGTTAAAGTAAATATTGAAATATGATATGACATATATATCCCTGAATTTTCTTGATTGTATGTTAGGAATACTACATCTATTTCGATTACTTTTGTTCGATTGTATTCTCTGTGTGGAACTATACATATTATTTCTCCCTCCTTGACTAATCATTTTTATCCCAATTAACATCAATCTTATATTGAAAAAGAAAAATGTATGCAACATTAGATTTTTAGCCAATAATAGTTTCTCATAAAAAAAAACTTGTACTTTAGTTTTATTTGAATGTTAAACATTAACATAAGAGTGTTTTTAAACATAAAGATAATATAAAGGCATCCATGTGCGCACGAACACACACACACACATATGACATATATATATATATATATATATATATATATATATATATATATATATATATATCATGGTTGTTAAAATCGTGATACTGATCGTAAGGTCGTATAATCCTACGATCCCACCAAGGTAAATCGATCCTAATCTTACTTGGATCGTTTTTCGATAGGATCGCAGTAGGAGTATAGGATCGGATCGTAAATTGATCCAATATCGTAGGATCGTTAATATGTACGTATCTATGTATGTATGTGTGTGTGTGTGTGTGTATATATATATATATATATATATATAATTCAAAATTTTTTTGGACTAACTACGTAGAATACCATTTTGAATTATATGTCGTTAAATAATGTATTATAAATGTATTTTTTATGTTTTAAAGTGTTTATTGTTAACTAGATGGTTAACAGACGGATAAATATGTATTTTTTATTTTTTAAAATGCATTTGCAAAGCGGAAAACGATCTTATATAAGATCCTGATCTTAGCAGCTTTGATATATATATATATATATATATATATATATATATATATATATATATATATATATATATATATATATATATATATATATATATATATATATATATATATATATATAGGGAGTAGTTCAAGTAACAACCTCAAAATATTAAGAACCCTACGAACCCTCATTAGTTAGTAAATATTTATATGATATTCTTATTAAACATGTGAAAATCCTATTTTTTTTCTCTTTTTGATACAAAAAGGGGAAAATGGTAATTTTGCAGTATAATATTTTCATTCTTTTGTGCTCTCATATTTAAACACAATACTTATATAAATTACAAGTTTATACAATCCATTTATAGTTTAAATCACAAAATTCACAATTTAATACAAACAATTTTACAATAATTTATAAACTCAAAGAAATAAAAATCTAGAACTCTACTACTACCACCACACCATGCTGCCACTAACCATTTGTACTAGCATCGCAACCATCATTTTCTTTTAAATCAGATTTGTAAATAAAGCCATACAATAATAACTTAAATACTACATTCATAGCCTAATAAAATCATTTATTTCACGCGGTTTGAATTCAATGCAAAACTATTATTAAAACTAATGTATTCTTACATACTTATACAACACAAAAAATAAATATATTCAGAAGAAAATTAACAATAAAAATTTATACATAAATTATACATATTTTAAATTGTGAATTTAATATATTAAGTTGTGAATAAAACTTACATTATTTCAAAAACAAACAAAAAAATTATAAAAGTATCACAACTTAATGCCAATTCATTCACAGCTTAATACAATCAATTCATAATTTAATACACAAAATTCACAGCTTAATATATTCAATTCTTAGTCTAGGAAGAAAATTTACAATTTAATGCAGTCAATTCACAAAACACAAAATCACAGCTTAATATAGTCGATTCATAGTCTAAGAAGAAAATTCACATTTTAATGCAGTCAATTCACAGTTCAAAACACAAAAAATCACAGTTTAGCACACAAAGTTCAAAGTCTAATACACAAAAAGTAAGCATCCACAACCATATTTTCAACTTAACACTCTTTATATAGCCAATTCAAAGTTTATATACAAAATTCATAACTTAACTTAATACAAGTAACTTCATAGCTTACTACACATAATCACAGTTTAATCTAGTCAATTTACAGTTCAAACAAAAATTCAAGCATAATGTAGTTAATTCGTAGCTTAAAAAGAAAATTCAAAGCTTAATGCAGTCAATTCACAGTTTAAAACACAAAAATCACAACTTAGTACACTAAATTCACATTTTAATACATAAAAAGTAATATTTACATCAATATTATCAACTTAAAACACCTATTACAAATACACAAATTAATATAGAAAATTCACAAACTAGTATAATAAATTCAAAGTTTAATTCAAAAAAATTATACATTCACAACTAAATAGCAGTTGCAACTAAGATTAACAAATTTATATGACAAATGTTAGATTAAAACATCAAATTCACACTTTAGCAGAAAAAAATTATATCATAGAGATCTACAACAGATGCAAGTAGAAAATAAGTAGAAAACAAAACTTAAAGGAGATTTATCTATAATAGTCGACATACCTGATTTTTGTAACATCCAAAAATTTAAGCCAAATTTTAAACTTTTCCAACCATTAAAAACCAAATAGTGTGATACGAATTGTTTTCAAAATATTATTCATCAGAGTGTCCCAAAAACAAAATCATAAGGATGAGAAGCAGTACGGTTACACCTTTGCCTTGCCATGATCTCCTGATGTACCTAAAACAATAAACTGAAAACTGTAAGCTCGAGAGCTTAGTGAGTTACCCCCAAAATACCGATACCACACTGATAATACCATAACAATAACAAACAATCACAATATGCATAATGGGCCTCCTGATTGGACCGCCTTGAAAGGCCTACAGTCTATCTAAATCTATTCCAAGCCTTCGGTGTGACTGGGCCGTCAAACAGGCTCACAGCCATCCGAACCACTTATCGGGTATGTTGGCCTTCAGCACAAAGCAGGACCACCTTAACCCCCACCAAACCAATAACCATGTACAGATAAATAACATATCCTAGTACATATATCAGGTATAACTACCTCACAGATCATCAATCATAGCAATCTCATTTATTGGAATACCGACCTAACCAAATCACCAACATACCACTATATCGAATCATCATAGCATAACAACATCATGTCTATCCTGATACCAAACTAACAGATCATAATCAAATGCATCCTACTCAAATCAGTAAATCAACCTAAAGGGTCGGTCTTGGTGCCTTAGACCCTTTTGACATAGTGAGGATAACTCACCTCGCTAGTGGCTCGGGATAATACTACCCACTCCTCCAGATATAGCTCCAACAACCTCGCTTGTACCCATGAGTGACCTACCAATCAATACAAAAATTACCAAAATGCTCATGGAAGACACAAGACAATTCTAAAACAAAGTCAAAGTCATTGGTCAATGGTCAACAACCCATGTTATATTATTGCTGAGTGCAACTTTCCCCTCGCTGAGTCCCTACTGATTTAAGAATTACTCGACCCAACTCGTCGAGTCATTACGTGAATCAGAGCTTAAAAATCCAAATTGACTCACCGAGTCATCTCCCAGACCTGCCGAGTCCACACGGGATGAATTCAGACAAAACCCTACTCGACTCGCCGAGTCATCTCCCAGACTCGTCGAGTCCATACGGTTATTCCCATGATCAAGCGATACAAAACTATTATTTCGTTCCAAACAGTAGATCTAGGTCCCTATAGAGTATTAGCAACGTAAAGTTGCTACATTTACATATTTGCATGCCTCAAAATCCTAATCCAAGCTTGAAATGAAACTTTATTCATAAGGGAGGGTTCTTTCATAGCCATATAAGGAACTTTATGAACTTAGGACCCAAGGGAGGTCCAGATCTGAAGTTTCAACTTCAGATCTAGCTCATACACCACACTCCCTTCATGAATATGCTAAAGAAACCCCTAACTCCATCCATGAGAGGTTCTAAGAAGAAATAGATCAAAGTAACAGTTGATTACCTCCAAAACGTGCCCCAAACTGAGATGGATTCAAGATCTACACGAATTTCCTTGATGCAAGCCTCTTGATCCGCAAGTTTCCTTCACTGATTCACTTTCCAAAGCCGCAAAACACTCACAAAAGTTCACACACATGAAATTAGGGTTTCTGGCTCTCAAGGGGTGATAAGGGACAATGGGAAGCGCTAATGGTCTAATATATAGGGTACAAAAACCTTGAAATTTAGGGTTTCCTCTGCTAGCTCCTACTCGTCGAGTCCCCTTCCCAACTCGTCGAATCAACTCATTAAATGACGTGTACCAACTCGCTTCTACTCGACGAGTCATAGCCTTAACTCGCCGAGTAAGTCTTAAAACATCAAATTTTAAATTAAACCATAATGATACCTGACAATTGGGGCATTACAACTGTTTTTTGAAGATTTATCTTCAAAAAATTAGATCTGCTGCAAGCCAACATGAAATGCACTAGATACACCTGATCCATACATGAAATGCATTGTACACATCAGATTTGATGAAGATATGGTGTTGGGTAGTGATATGGCATTTAAAACTTCGTTAATCTTGAGATCTGGTGCGCCGACCAGATCTGATCTGAATTGAAAATGCATAAACACATCAGATCTGGTGATATCCAATACAGATCTGATGAGGTCTGATCTAGATCTAGAGAGATCTGATGTAGATCTATTGGTTCACAAGAAACCGGAGAGAAAATGATGGATATTGTTGTAGATCTGGTGGAGTAACGGTGGAGGATAGAGAAGATGATGTTGTCGGAGGAGGTATGTCGTCAGTGGTGATGGCTACCGGCAAAAATCATAGCTCTAAAGGTGGAGGAGGATGACGCTAGCGATGTATCTGGTGGTTCGATCAAGTGGATCTCGGGTATAAATCACACATCTAGATGACGACGATGGTACAAACTTGGATTCCGGCGAGGTAGACATCGACAGTGGCGGCGACGACGGCTGGAGGTTCCTGCCACTGATGGAATGGGGGAGAGAATTGATGGGTTGATTTTTTGAGAACTATGAAAGAAAGAATCAGATCTAGCTTTTAGATCTAGTTTGCAACATCTGATAAATTATTTGTGAAAGTAGACTCAAATGTGTTGTTATTTACAATAATGCCATTATTTCATTTTAACAAGCTAAAATTAAAAGTTTTTTTAGGATTCTTATATATATATATATATATATATATATATATATATATATATATATATATATATATATATATATATATATATATATATATATATAGATTATTTTATGATTTGTCCAAAATTAGATTGATTTTATGAGTTCTATATGTAAGCTTACATATCTAATAGCCACATATTCACTTTTGCATATATATATATATATATATATATATATATATATATATATATATATATATATATAGTGAAGTTCAAAAAAGAGCCATTTTCAACAATGAAACCAAGAAACCAAAGAACCATTTTTTTCAATTTTTAGAGTTTATTTTTTATCAATAAAAAAAACTAAAAATATAGAAATTTATAATTTTTTATCCTTTTTCCAATGATATCAAATTTGATAAAAAAAAAATTTTGTTTTTTCGTCAAATTCACAGTGTAAATCTATGCAAATTCACAATGTAAAGTTATGAATTTTGATATTTTTAATTTTTTTTCGATAAAGAATAAATTCTACAAATTGAAAAAAAATATTTAATTTTTTGAAAAACTATTTATAATGGTTCTTTATTATACTTTTTCATATATATATATATATATATATATATATATATATATATATATATATATATATATATATATATATATATATATATATATATATATATATATATATATATATATTGGGCCGGATGGAGGATCATTATTTATAGTTATTTCTCAAACATTGGGGTATTTTTGTGTATCTCCTAAAATAATATGTTCTTTTTTATTATCCGTAATAAAAACTTCAATAAATAATTGTTTAGGTCAATTGACACAACTTACATTAATCTAATTAGACATGCATATCTACAAACTAAACACAAAACCAACATTTCCTTCCATTGCCTGTCAAACAAATACATGCACCGATTCAAACTCCAAGTCCGTAATATTCAAATTTATTAAACAGATTCAATTTCTTCGAAAACATATGATCTAAAGATGAAAAACACAAAAAAGAAACAAAAATCTAACCTCAATATTTTGCATGGTAGTTAATTTCTTCCAGCGTATGTATTGAACTAGTATCTTTTATTGTGGCTTTGAAATGAAGCATATATGAGCCATATCACCAGAAGGGATCCAAGGTACGACATGAGTATCGGGTAGCCAATGATGTCCCACTCCCACACGCCTGTGATTGGAGTCGGGGGCAGGGCAGACACAGTAGCAGCGGAGAACAGCATCGCCATCACGACAGTGTCCAACACCAAAAATCTTGGGAATTCTGTACGGACCTTTTTGATGTGATATATCAGGGCGAGTATTGCTGATCCTTCCAAGTATAAGCATACTATTGCATTTGATATCTTCAACATCCAGCTGCACAAGAACAAAAGTTATATATAAATTCATGCAACAAACCGTAAATTCAACACTTTGTTTCTTGTTTAATTGTCGATGGAATAAACATACAAAAGAAATTTATTTATTTCCGATTCCTTTTAGTATGAGAGATAATACATGTTGGAATTAAGCATTGTATCATCATGAAAATCGAGGCCAAATAAAGTTGACAATTAAATGATCAAGCGATTAACATATATTCGTAATAATTATACTTTTGTTAGTATTAATTTGTTAATATGATTGTAAGTTTGTAACTATTAATATATTAAAAAAAAATAAGAAAAAAAAAAAACAATAAAAGATATGGTAAGATCTGAATATTATGTTCACACTCCGTCGCCTTGCCAAATCCGTACTATTCACCGTCTTGCCGCCGAAGTTTGATCCGTCAGAAGTCGTCGTTGACGTCTATGTCCGCCGTGCAGGCGTGCAGCCAGCGAGTTCACTAGCTAGCTGACTCGCTCCTAAGGTTGAACGACTCGGTCTCTCCTAATCGGAAGACATCACCACGGAAACCGCCAAGGACCGAATGATTTCAGATAGCTTATATACCTTCAGATCTAATCGTCCGGCTAAGGTATCCGTCGTCCCTCCGCCGCCGCTCTCGTGATTAAAGCGCTCAAGGCCGGAACGTGACCGATACATCAAGCTGAGCGGCAACATTTCTCTCGATCGACGACGTTATTAAAGTAATTATAATATAGTTTGTTTTTAGATAGGTATTTGACCTAAAACGAATATGTGATACAGATTACAGATCCACACCTTTTCAACTACGTTTTACTTCATAGTTCATCGAAAATGAGTTCACATTTCAGAACAAAATAGATTCATGTTGATAGCGAAATCATCAGAAGAGGAATAGTCTTAATGAATGAACACGGTAGAAGAAAGTTCATACCAGTGAACGGTGACTTCGAAAGAGGATTTCTCATTATCGACACTTGTGAGCAGCGTAGCTAGTAGCGTTATGCAAAACGCTGTCGCGCGTAACGAAATCTCATATGCGGAAATCTCATAGCGAGTGCCATGGCCATTGTTGTTGTTGTCGTCGCCGTCCATGGCCTTCGCCTTCACACACTCAACTACAGAAATTAAGAGAGGACAACTGGACGAAAGATAGAGGAGATACAGTAGTTATAGGTGGTTTGAAATAGGATGTTAGGGGAATTTGCATTAGTTTTGAAATATGACACCAAATTCTAAAAAAAAAAAAAAAAAAAAAAAAAAATTAAAGATCGCTCAACTTTTAAGTAAATATATATCATATCAAGCGGGAAATGACTATGCACTCTAAGATTTAATATGAGATTTAGAAAATTTTAGGTAAAAATTTATAAAAGGTTTCGAGAATATCTTTGTAGTATTATAGATCTTAGCGGCCATTGTAGCACATGTGTGATGTGTCGCCCAGGGCATGATGACTTGATGTCATCCTCACCTTCCTCCGACTTATCACCGACAGTATGTTCAGAGCTCCACACTCAATGATGACAACTAAACATGTGGGTTGCGTTCATTGTTGGACTTAACCCAACACCTTACGACACGAGCTGACGATAGTCATGCACCACTTGTGTCCGCGTTCTCGAAGGCACCCCTCTCTTTCAAGAGGATTCACGGCATGTCAAGCCCTGGTAAGTTTCTTCGCTTTGCATCAAATTAAACCACATGCTTCACCGCTTGTGCGGGCCCCCATCAATTCCTTTGAGTTTCATTCTTGCAAACGTACTCCATAGGCGGGATACTTAACGCGTTAGCTACAACATTGCACGGGTCGATACGCACATCGGCACATCGCCTAGTATCCATCGTTTACGGATAGGACTACTGGGGCATCTAATCCCGTTCGCTCCCCTAGCTTTCGTCTCTCAGTGTCAGTGTCGACCCAACAGAGTGCTTTTGTCGCTGATGTTCTTTCCGATCTCTATGCATTTCACCGGTCCACCGAAAATTCCCTCTGCCCCTACCGTACTCCAGCTTGGTAGTTTCCACCGTCTGTCCAGAGTTTAGCCCCGCGATTTGACCGCGGACTTAAAACGCCACCTACAAACGCTTTACGCCCAAAAAATTGGAATAACGCTTGCATCCTCTGTATTATTGCGACTGCTGGCATAGAGTTAGCCGATGCTTATTACCCAGATATCGTCATTGCTTCTTCTCTGGGAAAAAAAGTTCATTACACATAACATACATCGGGCTTGCCTCGGAACACATAACACATAACATGCATGAATCACAAAGACATCAAACATACATATACTCTTCTCGGGACCGCCCCGACATCGGACCATAGTCCGGAAATACTAACAACTAAACGGGCTGACATTGTGGCCTTAGACCCATTCCTAATGGAAGAGGACTCGCCTCTCAAACTAGATACTAAACTCGTGCGTGAGAAATCTCTGTTAGTTGCTCCCACGACTCCCCGGATAGCTCTATACAATATTACTTGGTCAGAAAACTAAAAATCCATCTATGGGTAAAATAACCATTTTACCCTCGGTCAAAGTCAACATTCTGGGTTAACCAACTCGCTGAGTCAACCTTCCACTCGTTGAGTTCTATAACTCAAAAATCCTGGAATCATGACTCAGTTCGTCGAGTCACTCCACCGACTCGTCGAGTCCTATCGAGCTGCTCAGTCGCAACTTGGCTAATCGACTCGTCGAGTCCCTCTACAGACTCGTTGAGTTCTACTATAAACTGGAATCGGGATAACACAACTCGACTCATCGATTTCCCTCATGGACTCGATGAGTCTTTCTGTCTAATTGGCCATCTTAACAGATTAAGCCCTTGTTCTCTAGATCTGTAGACCATACTTCACTTGTTTACTGGGAATTACCTTTCTAAGGATAAAGGTTTTAACTTTACCCATTGATAACTCTTTTTGAAGGGTTTAGCTAAAACCCTAATTCCTTTAGGGCATGGATCTTGTCCAAAAATCCTTAGAATCTAAAATTCATGCATGTAAACCTAGATCTAGGGCCTAGCTATCAGATAACCACAAAAAGTCTCAAGCTTGCTTCCATGTATGGCCTTTTGAGCTCAAAAGTTCATAAATATGTCTTTAGCACTTTAATGGGGGCTCTAATGACATAAAGTTTGCACCTTTATGTCTTCACATCCCCTCTAGGCACCAGATCTAGAAGAGTAACTCTTGGGTCGATCCTTACCCACACTATATAAGAGATCCTCTAGCACATGAAATCGACAGTAGTGAGTCTTTAGAAGAGCATATCCGATTTTGTGAGCAAGATATATTCTCTCAAGTCCTCCAAATTGTTGGTGGTGATTTATGGTTCCATTTGAGGCATTCACATTATTGGTGCTAGGCTCTTATAGCTTCAAGGTTTTCAACTACACTAAAAGCTATGTCATCTAACTAGAGTTTTGTAGTATAGATACTCCATTGTATGCTAGTTAGGATGATGCTTTGGAAAATTGAAAGTTTGCATGTATATTAGAGAAAACATAGATCCAAAGCATCTAGGGTTGCATGTACACCATAGGAGTGTTAGAATGCTAAAAACCCATCAAAAGAACCTCAAATATGGGACCAAAATGTGACATAAGACACCCCAAAACAACATCTAAGCATGCAATGATCAAGGTTGGAGCTTGATACCTCAAATGAGTCAGAAAAGATGCCAAACTTCTAGATCTACAAGCTTTCTTCAAGTCCTTGCTCCTTCTTTAAACTCCTTGCTCTTTAAAACCACCAAAACAACACCAAAATGCTCAAAGTAGGCTCAAGATACATGCAATGGAGTTAGGGTTCTAGTTGGACACTGTGAGGACAAGAAAGGATGAGAGGATAAGGGTTTGGAGGGTTATAAGTTGCTTAAATAGCGGGCAAACCGTACAATTTAGGGTTTGCATATGATCAACCTACGCCCAACGTACGCATGGGGACTCCTTGCTCCGCGCCTTATATATGTACGTCGTGCGTACGCCTTGTACGCCCAGCGTACGTCTTGGCCCCAAAATTCCAACATTTCATAATTATAACTTGAATAGAAAGCAACATAATACCTGACAAATCCAAGGCGTTACAAATCTCCCCCACTTGAACTAGTCTTCATCCCCGAAGTCTGTTGCGGTTGGAAATAGCTTTCGGTAGTGCTCCCTAATCTCGTCTTCCGACTCCCACATCCATTCTCAGCCCTTGTAGTGCTGCCACTGCACATTCACCAACTCTACCCTCTTGTTCCTCAGATCCTTCGTTTTCCTGTTGAGAATGGCTACTGGTCTCTCGATATAGTTCAGGTTGTCATCCACCTGAATGTCCTCCCAAGGAACCACCGCAGAATCATTGGCTATACACTTCCATGGTTGCGAAACATGAAAGGTGTTGTGGATCTGTCTAAGCTCTTCTGGAAGTTACAACCGGTATGCCACCTTGCCCACCCTGGCTGTAACCCTGAAACGTTTGATATACCTGGGGCCCAACTTGCCCCACTTCCTGAAGTGAATGATACCTTTCCAATGTGACACCTTCAGGAGAACCATATTCCCAACCTGAAAGTCTAGGTCCGATCGCATCTGTCAATGTAGCTCTTCTGCCGACTCTGGGTCGTCTGGAGTTTACTCCTAACATGCTAGATCATCTTAGTCATCTTGAGCACCACCTCAGTTCTACCCATGACCCACTGACCGATCTCACCCCAACATATCGGGGTTCCACATTTCCTCCCGTATAACATCTTAAAGGGAGGTCGTTTGATACTAGCGTGGTAGCTATTATTATAGGAAAACTCTGCCAAAGGAACGTAGGTATCCTAGCTACCATCAACATCTAGAACGTACGCCCACAATATATCCTCCAAAGTCTGAATGGTCTGTTCGCTCTGACCATCCGTCTGCGGGTGGAAGGCTATGCTAAAGTGTAGACGAGTGCCTAACTCATCATGAAACTTCTTCCAGAATCTGGAAGTGAACCGCATATCCCTGTCAGAAATCACAGAAACCGGCACCCCATGCCGAGCTACTACCTCCCTGATGTAGATACCTGCCAGCTTCTCAACCGAAATGCTTTCCTGGATCGGTATGAAATGGGCACTCTTGGTCAAACGATCCACGATGACCTATATAGAATCTACCCCATGTGCGATCCTGGGAAGCTTTGTGATGAAATCCATAGTGTTGTCTTCCTATTTCTGTAACACCCAAAGTTTCGAAGACCAAGAAAGGAAAGAAAACCCTAAGTTTAGGGGTCGACTCGGCGAGTCCAAGGAGGGACTCGGCGAGTCCGAGCGGGATCCGGGTCGGGGAGTAAGTGACCGACTCGGCGAGTCGACCAAGGAGACTCGGCGAGTCTGGTCTGTGCGAGGAAAACCCTAATTCTGGGAGTTGTATCCTATATAAAAGGGAGTTATGTCCCTCCCTCAGCCTCCATATCATCCTAGAGAAACTGTAAACCCTGGATTCGTGGGAGCCTCCATCAGTTGAGAGAAATAGCTTTGGGGGAAAGAAATATTGGAAAGGACTGGAAGATCAGGAAGGTGGCTTCAAAGGAGAGGTGTAGATCCGAGATCTACTTCAGTTTGTGTTCTTTTTGGAGGTATTAAGCTGCCATTTTCCCTTCCTTGCATCTAGATCTATTTTGTTATGAGTTTTAGGGGTTTTATGGTTGATTAAGACCCATTTTGAGTTGGAAGCTCAGATCTGAAGTTGCTACTTCAGATCTAAGTGTATCTTGGCCTAGAAGACTCATAAAGCATCAGTTGTTGGGTTGATTGTTGAGCCCCTTTGTCTTAAACCCTAGTTTATAGTGTTTTGAGCCTAGATCTCCTCAACCACACGTAAAGTTTGCCACTTTACGTAAGGAAAAGACCTTCGAAGAGTGGATCTACAGTTTCGAGTCCATGCATGACTCAAAAGTCCTCTGCATGTATGTAGAACCGAATGGACTCGGCGAGTCCTTCGAGTGGACTCGATGAGTAGCTTGAAGATGAGGAGGAACTCGACGAGTGGGATGAACAGCTCGACGAGTCGGATGAAGATGGGCAGGAACTCGGCGAGTTGGATGAACAACTCGGCGAGTTGGTTGGAGATTGCCTTGTGCTCGGCGAGTCTGTTCTTGGACTCGACGAG